AAGTTATCATTTAAACACGCTACATGAAGTTATAAGAAATATTTAGTCATGCTATAAGTATTCACAGTTAACAGATTCATGCGGCAAGTAGTCAGTCATACGCGCATTAAATAATGATACATGTAGTCATTGGAAACGCCAAATGATGACGTACTCATGTGAAATATTAAAATATGATAATATATTAATTGGACAACATATTATTAATGTATATAGTCATGAAAAAACATCGAATTATCCTTCATGTAGTCATGAGAAACATAAAAACAGGCTTTATATATGTTATCATTTATAACATCAAAGTGTTATATCTATATGTAAGTTAAACTTTATAGCAGGCTATATTTAGACATGGGAAACAAAACATCATATAGGAAAATTCAAATGGAGCTGCATGTAGCCATGGAAAACATCAAATGAAGTTGAATGTAGCCATTGGAAACATCAAATGAAGCTGCATACAGCCATGGGAAACATCAAAAGAAGCTGAATGCAGCCATGGGAAACATCAAAAGAAGCTGAATGCAGCCATGGGAAACATCAAATGAAGCTGTATGTAGTCATAAGAAACATCAAAAGAAGCTACATACAGCCATGGGAAACATCAAAAGAAGCTGAATGCAGCCATGGGAAACATCAAATGAAGTTGCATGCAGCCATAGGAAACATCAAAAGAAGCTGAATGCAGCCATAGGAAACATCAAATGAAGCTGCATGTAGCCATGGGAAACATCAAATGAAGCTGTATGTAGCCATGGGAAACATCAAATGAAGCTGTTTGTAGCCATTGGAACATCAAAAGAAGCTGTATGTAGTCATGAGAAACATCAAAAGAAGCTTCATATAGCCATGGGAAACATCAAAAGAAGCTGTATGTAGTCATGAGAAACATCAAAAGAAGCTGTATGTAGTCATGGGAAACATCAAAAGAAGCTGTATGTAGTCATGGGAACATCAAAAGAAGCTGTATGTAGCCATTGGAACATCAAAAGAAGCTGTATGTAGTCATGAGAAACATCAAAAGAAGCTTCATATAGCCATGGGAAACATCAAATGATGCTGTATGTAGCCATTGGAACATCAAAAGAAGCTGTATGTAGTCATGAGAAACATCAAAAGAAGCTGTATGTAGTCATGAGAAACATCAAAAGAAGCTGTATGTAGTCATGGGAAACATCAAAAGAAGCTGTATGTAGTCATGAGAAACATCAAATGAAGCTGTATGTAGCCATTGGAACATCAAAAGAAGCTGTATGTAGCCATGGGAAACATCAAATGAAGCTGTATGTAGCCATTGGAACATCAAAAGAAGCTGTATGTAGTCATGAGAAACATCAAAAGAAGCTTCATATAGCCATGGGAAACATCAAATGAAGCTGTATGTAGCCATTGGAACATCAAAAGAAGCTGTATGTAGTCATGAGAAACATCAAAAGAAGCTGTATGTAGTCATGAGAAACATCAAAAGAAGCTTCATATAGCCATGGGAAACATCAAATGAAGCTGTATGTAGCCATTGGAACATCAAAAGAAGCTGTATGTAGTCATGGGAAACATCAAATGAAGCTGAATGTAGTCACTGGAAACATCAAATGAAGCTGTATATAGTCATTGGAAACATCAAATGAAGCTATATATAGTCATGGGAAACATCAAATGAAGCTGTATGTAGTCATGGGAAACATCAAATGAAGCTGTATATAGTCATGAGAAACATCAAAAGAAGCTGCATGTAGTCATTGGAAACATAAAATGATACTGCAGACAGCCGTGGGAAACATCAAATGAAGCTGCATGCAGCCATAGGAAACATCAAATGAAGCTGCATGCAGCCATGGGAAACATCAAATGAAGCTGCATCTAGCCATGGGAAACATCAAATGAATATGCATGTAGCCATGGGAAACATCAAATGAAGCTGCATGCAGCCATAGGAAACATCAAATGAAGCTGCATGTAGCCATGGGAAACATCAAATGAAGCTGTATGTAGCCATTGGAACATCAAAAGAATCTATATGTAGTCATGGGAAACATCAAATGAAGCTGCATGCAGCCATAGGAAACATCAAATGAAGCTGCATGTAGCCATGGGAAACATCAAATGAAGCTGTATGTAGCCATTGGAACATCAAAAGAATCTATATGTAGTCATGGGAAACATCAAATGAAGCTGCATTTAGTCATGGGAAACATCAAATGAAGCTGCATGCAGCCATACTAAACATCAAATGAAGCTGCATGTAGCCATGGGAAACATCAAATGAAGCTGTATGTAGCCATTGGAACATCAAAAGAATCTATATGTAGTCATGGGAAACATCAAATGAAGCTGCATTTAGTCATGGGAAACATCAAATGAAGCTGCATGCAGCCATGGGAATTATCAAATGAAGTTGCATGTAGCCATTGAAAACATAAAATAAAGCTGCATGTAGCCATGGGATCCATCAAATGAAGCTGCATTTTGTTATGGGAAACATCAAATGATACTGGATGTGGCCATGGGAAATATCAAATGATAATGCATGTAGTCATGGGAAACATCAAATGAAGCTGCATGTAACAATGGAAAAAAATCAAATTAAGCTGCACATAGCCATGGGAAACATCAAATGAAACTGCATATAGTCAAGGGAAACATCAAATTAAGATGAATGTTGTCATGGGAAACATCAAATGAAGCTGCATGTAGTCATAGGAAACATAAAATAAAGCTGCATGTAGCTATGGGAAACATCAAATGAAGCTGCATGTAGCCATGGGACACATCAAATGAACCTTCATGTAGTCATGGGAAACATCAAATGAAGCTGTATGTAGTCATTGGAAACATCAAATGAAGCTGTATGTAGTCATTGGAAACATCAAATGAAGCTGTATGTAGTCATTGGAAACATAAAATGAAGCTGCATGTAGTCATTGGAAACATCAAATGAAGCTGCATGTAGTCATTGGAAACATAAAATGAAGCTTCATGTAGTCATGGAAAGCATCAAAAGAAGCTGTATGTAGTCATTGGAAACATAAAATGAAGCTGTTTGTAGTCATGGGAAAGATCAAATGAAGCTTCATGTAGTCATTGGAAACATCAAATGAAGCCGCATGTAGTCAATATAAACATCAAATGAAGCTGCATGTAGCCATAGGAATCATCAGATTATGCAGCATATTGTCCTTCTTGTTTTAAAGTTATATAGCTAAATGCATATTATTCTTTAAACATATGCTGGGTTAAGTGAATATCATCAACGCATATTTACACAAGTTAATACACTTGCGCAATTTAACAACTAAATTACCTTTATCTATGCTAAGAAGAAGTTCGGTGACACTGCATTTAGATTATCTTCCCGTTCCAATTATTAAAATATAGTGCAGCTCAAGGTTAAATTCTTCCCGTTCCCATTAAAATAGCAGCTCAAGGTTAAATGTAGGGCCTTTTCTTGTTCCAAATACGTGTTATAAATCTAACTTAAAAAAAAAGATTTAATCAACTGTGTCATACAGTGCAACCTCTACAGAGCAAGACCCTTTGAGAAATAAAGAAATTGGTCGTTACTGAGAGGTGTTGTTTGATGAGAGGTTAACTATATGGTGTATTTTATTTTAATTTAGAAAAGAACTGATACTGATGTTTAAAAGAGGTGATTGGTTTACAGAGGGTCGTTCTGCAACGGTTGCAGGTATATTTTATTCAAAAGAATGAATATATTGGCTATATCATAATGCAATAATCCGCGTGTCCCATAAGCGTTGCAGAAGATTGTTATCGTCATTCAATTAATTGCGTGTATAAAGAAGACCTAAATTTGCAAAATATCCTTTATGCTACAAAAAGGTATAATATGGTTTTATTTGCGGATCACGTAATCTTAGATCGACATTTTGTCACCCGGCTGATTTCATTTCATTCGTGATTTTTGAAGTTTTTTTGTTTTTGTTTGTTGGGTAGTTTTTTTTTGTCATGAAACATATGAATTTTACTTCCTCTTTTGTGTTTATCTAAAAAAATAAAATAAAACAAAACAACCCCGAACAAAGCTATTCATATATTATGATAGGTAAATAGATCGGCACACTAGATCGATTAGTTCATGTTGCGTTCACCAAGACCAATTAATATATCAACATGTTGTTTCATTTGATTGGAAGCAGTTATCAGATCGAGGGTGTCCGCTGTGTACGTTACCTATTTTCTCCCGATAACCTACATGAACATATATTTGAAATTTTATAAACTTCGGAAGAGGTGCTAAATAAATGATTAAACAATCGGATATCATTTGAAGAAAAAACAAAACAATTTGATAGGTAAATATGTAGACAAATCGTAATTAATGTCAACTGGTAGACATTTTGTTCTTTCGGTTTCTACGATCGTAATAATTAGTATATAAATAATGTACTGTTTACTTTTATACCTATAAATTAAGTTAATTTAATTGGATTTTTACACGATATATTGGAACAAACTTAGTTAGCAACTCCCAGTATTAAATAACTTTTTGTTTACATGTTTAGTGCACTAGCGTTGGTTAGCCCGCTCTGTGTATTCTTACTTCTGTGCCGAAATTTGACGGAAAGAGCCGAGAAGCTGCCGCTGATTTACTAAAATATTTGGGCATTTCTGATAGTGAAAACTATATCAAGTGATAATGTCAGTAAGAATAAATGTCATGCATTAGTTTATTCATTATTTCACACACTTTCTACATTAGCGTCTATTAATATGTATAAATCGAATCTTTAACGTTGTATATAAGTATATAAATTACTAACTGTAGATTTCATATTTTCATTAAAAAATAAATGTAATAATGCTGATACTTGTTGAAAGTGAATTTGAAATATTAATTAAAATAAGATATAAAACATAATTTTCATTAAATATGCTTCAAATATATCTCTTCATTTAAGAATAAACCTATGTAATATATCCTACTGCCTTATTTATTATTTTGCACACATTTAGATGGAATATGAATATTTCCGTTAAGCATGTACTTTACGCGTAGCAGTAGCATTACAGTGAAGACAACGCCGCTGTCAAGTGACCTCATTGTGTTAAACAGCTGTACAACAGCTGATCGAGTGAAGTGTGCTTTCTGTTAAACTTCGATATTGGCTTAATACAGTAGGGATACTTCGCTTTATAAGGTTTGCTATACTTAAATCTTTATTAACTTGAGATAACAGTTTTTTATATAATATAATTTATTCTGTTACAAATAAGTATGCCGTTCTCCATTGATTATTTTGTTTTCACTCGAGGAATTCCGCGGATGCTTTGTCTCCTTGCTAGATGTAAACCAATATTGGCAGATGCGAAATACGTGCTAAATGTTTCTTCCGCAAATCGAGGATTTTTTGTGTAATGACGCCTTTGAGACCCACTAACACACTAAACACATTAGCTTTTTAGCTTTTTGGTTCCATATTTATGGGAATCTTGATTAATTTCAGACTTGTTAACTACCACTTTTTAAATGAAGGAAATTTACCGTCGTGCAATCTAATCTCCTTTTGGGCAATGTGTAGAGACTGACCGTGTAATATTTGACCTCTGCTTATCACGTGTTATCACTCTCAGCATTTTGTAATACGAGTACTTAATGAAAAGTGAAAAAGTGAAGTTAAGGTCAGCCAACACCATTGTTTCCTGACTGATACAGAATGAGGTCAAAACTGGTATAATGTAATTGAAGATGTCATGATAACACTTTACGTTAATTAGTTCAGCACTGAGAGCTAATTTTTTTCCCCAATGGCTGTGTAGTAATATGTTAGTTGTTGAAGTAATTAAAACAGCAATTGTTAATGTTCGCCAGGAATAAAATAACAATGTACTCATTTATCGGTCATTTTCCCTTTTTTCTTAGTATTTTGAAATATTGTTTTATACAGTGATACATTACTTTTAGACAAAATATACACATTGAGATATACACACCATTTCATTATGAAGAATAATATTAGATTTACGGTTTTGAAAGTCAATTCATTTCAAGGTTAAAAACTTGATTTTGTCTCGACCTTGATTAAAGATAGTAAGGCGTTAACTTGTATGAACATTATGTTGTTTATTTATAAATCAGTTCAGTGCAAGAATCAATAGATTGTAGACTGATAAAACAAACATCTGCCTTATATAATTACGTAAATAATATATATAATACGATCACTCAGAGTTGCAATTTTTGTACACTATTTATGCGTACGTGTTACTTATTTATAGAATTTATAGGTATACCTACCTTATCATACAGTCCTTTTATTGGCACTTATTCTTATCAAGTAAACGTTTGGCCAGTCGAATGATAAAAGGAAACTTAAATCAAATTTAACTGAACAGAAAAGAGCGGAAGATAAATGTTTTGATTTATGCAGTCGGTTTTGTTTTGTTGATTCAATGGGGTTGACTTCAAAATAAAGTAAAACAGTCCGATGAAATGCACCGAACGACGTACTTATATTGTCTTGAGTACTTGTTGTGTATGCTGGTTGGTTAACTTATACACATATGTTTAGATTAAACGTCAACGAAGCTGGATTCGAACCCGCGGGAATGATCAAAGAACCACTGACTAGCTATCTTGACTGTAGGTATAGCAACCAGCTATCTTGACATAAGTTGTAGCAATCAGTCGTCCTTACAGGAATTATAGCACCAAGATATCTTGACGGCAGATACAATAATCAGTTATCTTGACACAAGCTATCTTGAAGGCAGTTATATTTACCAGTTGTCTTGACGGCAGTTATAATAACCAGTTATCTTGACAGCAGGTGTAATAACCAGCTACCTTGACGACAGGTATAGTAACCAGTTATCTTGACGGCAGGTATAAAGACCAGCTATCTTGACGGCAGGTATAGTAACCAGCTATCTTGACGGCAGGTATAATAACCAGTTATCTTGACAGCAGGTATAATAACCGACTATCTTGACGTCAGGTTTAATAAACCGGCTATCTTGACGGCAAATATAATAACCAGTTATCTTAACGGAAGGTATAATAACCAGCTATCTTGACGGCAGGTAAAACTAACGGCAGGTTAAAAGAATCCGCGCAGTCTGATCAGGATCCATGCTGGTCGCAAACCTATTATGTTGGTTTTGTCATGACGCGGCTCAATTATATTGATAATGTACTTGTAATAGATATAGATTAATAGTAGTTCATCTTTTTTAATAATTCGCAAAATAATAAGGTGTTTGAATTTAACATATGCTTATAAAAACCATCATCTCGTCTAACAGACGAAAATGAAGGTTCAAGTTACCGGATAATTTTCGTTTGTTTCAAATATTATAATGTAATACATATTAGTTGACAGCATTGTATAATTTATTCTCACCAGTTGAAATAAATGTTCAGATGTATACGAAAGATGTTTCATTACACAGTAAAGATTGTTAAATTTCGTACAATTTCATATAAACTTGTTATCAAAATAGAAATTAATAAAACCGAAACCTGCTGAATTTATGTAATGGACTTACCCTGCATTTAATTTGGAATAGTCCATTCATTATTTAAAGGATATCAGTATCAAAATTACGAAAGACCGATGGGGACATTTCAACTTCATGAATTCCCGATTTCATCTTCATGAATATTCACAACTTCATCCTCGTAACTTATTATTTTAAACTTCGTTAATTCACAGTTTCAACTTCACGAATTCGATCACTATTTCTATACTATTTCTATACTTCACGAATTCAACATCGCGAAGACACGATTTCACGAATTCACGGTTTCAACTTCAATCTTGAAAACTAGAAATCATGAAGTTGAAATGTCCCCATCTGTCTTTCGTACACAATACAAAGATTGAGATAGCCAGGCCAGACCGCACAGTATTTTCAATCTGACAAGGCTCTATACCATAAGCTTTTGATTCGATTAACATTGTTGAATGATTGACTAAATTATGTCTTGTCAACGAACGACTATAGATTTTTGACTAAATGCTAGTGCTATGTCGCGATTTAGAAGAATTCGAGAGACATCTTATTTTTTGTGTGTGATTCAAGACGATTGACTCTTTGGATTAACGACGAATTAGTGCATTGTATACCTTTAATTACAAGCTTGTTGTATGCATGTGACATCACAGGAGTTTGAAATTCTGTCTATTAATTAGTGATTCAGTCTTTTATAGTGGCGGGGGTTGATTTAAATCATTTAATGATAGAATTTCAATTTTAGTAACTCTTGAGTATTTTTGAAGGTTTAGATGATTTATTGTGGTTTTGTGGTTATTTCTGTCTGTTTTATATACTGTCACCAAAATGTTTTGAAATTAGCCTTTATAGTATTAATTGCACCAAGGTCATCAAATATGCTTTACTTGAGCGAAGCTATTTATTACTAACACCTGATTAAGTGATTAACTTATCTTGTTTAACTATCACAACGATTTCTAGCACTATAGAACTATTTGTTCGTATCTTCATCGGAACTGAAGCACTCATTAACATCGGAGAAAGACGGCTATAGTTACTCATATTTCAGGGGGGTTGGGGTCTTTGGAGGGCGAAGGAGTAAGAAAAACGTTTCAGTATAAATCAAAATCGGCGTTCATGGATTAAGGCGATCAATCCATTGTTATAGTTTGAATCATTTTAGTACCAGTTTTTGAAGCGGTATAATAGTTTGTCCGAGTTTCGCTATTATTGTCGCTGCTTTTGTCATGTGGTCTCTTATTGATTTTTTAAAAATCTTTTGTTGTTGCCTTTTCTGTATCTTGTCAGGTAAACGCTTATTAATCTTTTTTTATCATAGGGAAAACGGACCAATTAAGGTCCGTGCATGGAAGTAGTAATTTGTTGTTCTTGATGATCCTGGTCAGGGAGGCGCTTATCGATGTTTGACATGGGATGTTGTTATTTGTGTTGATGCTCCTGGCCAGGGAGACGCTTATTTAAACCACGGAAAATTATTATTTTTTCTGTGAAGATTTTTTTTCGGAGGCAAAGAAATCTCAATGAAGTCAGTAAAAGGGCGAGAAGGTTTTAGATATAAGTATGTCAAAATTCATTTTCGGCACATCTTTTTGTATTGATGCCTTACTATGTCATCAGAGGGGCGACCAAAACCTGCTGCTTAATTTTGATAATTTGATATAAAATTTCTAAAATTATTCCCAAGACTGAATAGCATAATTGGAAAAGCTAAGTATTTTATAAACGAGATTAAATAACATTTGCCCCCTTTCTCAACTTTAAAGTTCCGAATTTGCACATTTAAAAGTACATTTTGTATGAAATTTTGAAATGTAATATTGTATCATTGTTTCATAAATGTCAGGTTTGACAATGAATTTATATGCAATTAATTAATTCATCCTATTTGCGTCACGTATTATCAGCTTTTTTTTATCTTTCTTTATAATATTACGTTACAAACGCTTTACATTTTCTGCATATTTCAAATTAATTACAAATTACAGTATTACAGAAAAGAATAAACATAATATAAAACAATTAACCCGAAGCGAATAAGTAGCGTAAACATTTACTATTAAGAAGGTATTCCGTAATATTTGATAGCATCTTTAAGTAACTGTCAGTTTAACATGGCATCAGCAAGTGCCCGCGGGGCACGTGCGGACTAAATGTTTTCAGAATGCGTGTCAAAGTCTTTTCCTGCGAATGTTTACTTTATGAAATAATTCTGAATTGACACTGAAATGGAAAACAACATGTAACCATACATTGTTTACTTATCCATGAATACCGAACTACTTATCCTAAACGGAAATACCATTTTGGCAATTAACGAAATTGTCTACATTGTTATTTCAATTTGTTATTGCAAACTTTCACTGTATATGTGTAGCAAATATTTTTGATGTGTTCATCACGCTTTCATCATTTGCATTTTGTACCCAAAGAGGAAATTTATTAATTATTTATAATATATGTGTACAATAAGAAAATTTCCTACAGTTGATTTACGAGAATTTGAAGTACCGGTATATTGATAGTCTTAACATCCCTAAATTTGTGTAATGAACTTACCCTGCATAGTCTTGGGACCAGTCCATTGTTGATTTAAGGGGATTTGATATCAAAATAACAATAAGCCTAGAGTCTGACTGCATGCTGGCCTTGGCAATCGGAACGCATCTACTATTATTTATTATACATGTAAACCGAAGACTGACGGAAATGGCCGAAAAAAAATGAGATTGTTCTTGTTTGTACAGACAGGACTAAAGCGGTTTAGTGATAAATCTTTAGAAATTATGACTAACATACGCTATAATCGATATTTCTAAAATTTGAAATCGAGTGTATTTCTGTAATCAAACTTGTGATGCGTTTTTTTTTATTCAAGTTCGAAATGTTTAAATAATAAATATTAAAAAAAACAACCATGGCCTGATAAATGCTTGCAAATTGATAAAGAAACTACATGTAAATACTTTTTCCTCAGAATTCGGCTTTCACTTTGCTAAAGGCATAGAGAGCAGCGTTCAGGTATGTGGTGCAAAGAAATATATGACAAACACCACTGATAATACAACATAACTTTTATCATAGAAAACAGAAACAAACAGAAACAACATACGTTCCTTGTTGAACCGTGTGATACATGTACACTGCGATTAATGAGCGATTTCATTATATTCTACATGTATTTACTACTTACTATAGTAGCGACTTCCGAATTTATAAGTAATTTTTAGTTTAAATGAACTTCGTATTCGTGTGATTCAGTTTGATAAAATGAGAAAAAAGATTAAATACTATGATTTTGCTGGCTTTAAAGTATGTTATAGAATAAAATTTAATTTTATCATCAATCACATTTGAAATGTATAAATTATAGAGATAATGTAAATTTTCCACAGGTTTATCTTTTTCTTATGCAAGGATCTCACCTAATGTTTGTTTTAAAGGTTACGTGCGCAGCTGACCGCGTACGTTATCATTTTTACAATCGCCTTAGTTACTGACCGGAGGAAATTTGTTTCATTTGCAGCAACAATGAAAACACACTCAACTGACTAACACAGACAAGAAATATACGGTCACCAAACAATTTGCCGGCTTCATGCTCAGCAAGAAACATGCCGGAGAGCGATTCTACTGACAGGCAAACTCCCGAGCGGGATAACAGACCGGAAACGTCTACGGCGCATGCAGTGAAAGTGTCGTCTGCTGGAGCAGACGAAAGTAATGAGAAAAACGATCAAATGGAATCAGAAGATGTGATTACTGGAAATTCTAATGACAATCCGAAAATAAACGGAGTTAACCGACATTCAGCAAATGAAAGTGTTGACAAAAGAATATCGAATGAAAATGAATCAACAAATTTTAATGATTTGGAAGCTGACGAGGAAAGACAAACTGCCTTAGAAGAATCACCACTGATAAATGACAATGGTAATATACGGCATGTTCATATAAACCAGCAGAACAATGATAGTGACAATTCTGAACATAAAAATGGTGGACCTAACGTCAAAGAATTAGAGCGGGGGACAAGTTGCTATGACAACGCTCCGGACGGGGGTTGGGGCTGGGTAGTGACATTTGCAGCTTTTATGGTGGGAGTGATTCTAGATGGAATATCTTTTTCATTTGGATTATTTTTCAAGGAACTCTTGCTACATTTCAATGAAAGTAAAAGCTTAACGTCTTGGATTATATCAGTGTTAAATGGAACCTACCTTGGGATTGGTATGTATGATGTTTATACTAGAATCTCTGCAGAGCGACCCTCTGTATAACAAACACCTCTTTACAACAACTATCTCAATTATTTCGAAATAGAAATTGACATTAAATTAAACCTTCATAGAGCAACATTTCACTTCAACAACCAAAGTATTTGTCTCCCAAAGGGTCTTGTTCTGCAGAGGCTGCTCTGTTATTGATAAAAAATGGCAAGATGGTAAGCAAGTATATTGTCTTTTAACAAATCAGTTGATTTTAAATAATCCTTTCACCGCTTAATATTGTATAAAATATTAATATTGCTTTGAATTTTGAACTGTTCATTGTTATGAACAGTCGACATATATATACTTTTTTGCAGGCGCACCTGATTTCATATTGCCTTGTTTTATGTTAATAAGCAAGTCGTTGTCAGTGGCAGCATTCAAACCATTTAAAAAACTCTTAGTAAATCATCACTTTATTATAACAATATACGTTATATACATCGTTAATTATTTTATAGGTCCAATCTCGAGTATTCTTGTATCTGTGTTTGGGGCTCGACAGGTTGCAGTATTTGGCGCGTGTTTGGCAGCTATATCGTTCTTTGCCTGCACGTGGTCACCGAACGTTCAAGTGATGATCATTTTATATGGCCTGCTTGGAGGTAATATATAAACATAACTTTAAACACATATGATCTAGTTAAATTACAATTACTGCCGTTAATTTATGTATGACGAGAAGTTGCCAACTGCTTGCGGAGATAAAACAGCGTTTGTGTGACATAGATGGCGATTAAAATATATATAATCAAAGGACAGCAGCTCTATGATATTTTCTGATTTTGCAATCTAAATCATACTGACTATCTGTATGTACTTTCCTGTATAAGTTTATTTTATATACTATAATTCATCTTACGCAGCGACAGCGTTTTGATTTTCTTCTATAACAGTTTGGGATTGATACATATGGAATTTTGCATGAAAAAAAAATAGAATTGCCTCGACTAGGATTTGAACCATAGGCCTCTCACACCCTCAACGAGACCGCTTACCTCTGCACCACGGCGAAGTTATGCATATGTACCTTGAATTAAAACGAATACATTATGTAATTCTAAATTGAGAATTTCCATTTCGTGTTTGTAATCCTTATTAATTTCGAGGTATTTTGTTCACGATAAACCTGTTGTTAACCACTGATGAAAATAAGTTAGCGAAAATCTTCTCGCCAAAACAGTCCGACATGTATATATTCCACTACTCGACAGTGTACTACGCTCTGGAGTATTCGGTAATCGACATAGCTAAAAATAGCATTTTCATTGATTAAAATGATATTCATTGATAATCCGAAGCTTTACGGAAATAGCCGAACATTTTTCATTGGGTAAAAAAGATATTCATCCGCGAAATTTGTGATTGTAACCTGATATTTCTGTTGACTAATCTAAACTTTTAATGCACAGTAATTCGTTAAATGCCTACATTAAAAATTATTCTTTCTTTTAAATTGCTGGTTTTTAAGCAGTTTTGAGTGAGAACTACTTTGCGTTGTTAGGACTGTGAGGAAATTTTGTGTTAGACCGTGGATGTTAGCTATGTATTTACTGATCTTACGCTCAGAAAATACAAAAATGGAGTGCAATGCACCGACTGTCACAACTGTTCGGCCCTTTCCGTCAATCTTCGGATACGAAACTAATCGTGTTCCGAATGGTTATAAAAAAGATATATATATATTACTGCATTGTCATTCTTAGAAAATTAAGCTGATCTAATCTTTAACCAACACGGAAGTTCATATAGATAATTTTTCAAATCCCATAAAACTGCATTACAAATATCTCTCTCTATATATATCTCAATAAATGAGATCAGCAATTTACATAATCTTATGTAAATTATGTAAATTGTTCCTAGCCAACAATATATACACTGTATATCATAAACTGTTTACTTGTATATACTTACATGAACTTTCCTCCATTAACACCTTATATGGCGTACAGTGAACTCTGTTTAGAAGACACGTGTTAAATAGAGTTTTACCAACCTTGCTTTGTCAGGTGGTCTCTCAACACGAGCCCATATATAGACTGTATAAAGTTCTTCAACGAGGGGTCATAGCTAAAGGTTTTTTCTGTAGATGATATTTTTTTGAGTGGCTTAAGTCATAGGTTTGCCTGTACATCAATTAAAGAAACAGGAAACAAGCAAAATTTAAATATGTTTACAAAACTTTCACTATTGATTATATTTACTTTAAATCCAATTACTTTACATGCCTGTGCCTTTGTTCTTTAAACTTGATCAGAGCTTCGTAACATTCAGTTTCAAGGTCAGCTAAAAGCTATTTTCCATGTCGTTTAGAAGTACAGAATGACGATTTTTTTTTCGTAATTTGATATGACGTTAAACACACTTTTGTTACTCCTTGTGAACGTAGTACATAGTAAATACAAATCATGACGGTGAATTCAAAAGTTGTGACATTAAACTTCAACACGTTCACATTTTAGAAAGGGTTCCTTAAATGTGTATATTTACTAATATTTCACTGAAAACTTTATTAAAACCATGTTATCTAACTACGAAAAATCTCACATAGAATGGAAATATGCACTTTGCACAAAGAATTTCTTAACCGCCGTAGCCGGTTTCGGACCGACAATGAGGGAGCGGCGAAGGGTTTAAAGAAACCGGTCTTTAATAACTAAATTACAGAGGCCCCTTTGACAAATTTATTCTTATTCATAAGCCTAGAAGTCGGTCGTTTTGTGAGCGTTTTTTTTTTAATTAATGCGATTTTCACAGTTTCTTGAAGTACATGTATGCAACAGTCTAAAATTAAAATATAGATGTAATTTTTATTTAATTTTGTGAAATATATGGTCGGTAAATATTCAAAGAGCTTGATCATTTTAAATATGTTATTTGTCGGATGGAAAGAAACCAAACAGTGATCTCTTTTGAAAGAAATTCGAAGGTGCAATTGACTTTCTTTTTTACCATGATTGTTACTTTCCTTATTGCCCGCTTGTGACTGAAATAATGCACCGGCTGTGTACGGAAGGGCACCTAAGGTCTTGCTCCACCCAGTAAAGCTGGAAAGTCGCTATATGATCTATACTATGTTGGTGCAACCTAGATCCCAACCAAACTTTCCTTATTACCCATATTGTTTAAAGAACTCGCTACTTTGGTTATTACACAGTTTGTTAGAAATATTTCCTATTTTATACTATTGAATAACCCCGATTGTTTTAACCAAGGTTAAAACGACAACCATTTGAAAGATTGTCTATTTACAATGGTTATATGCAATTACTTAATATCCTTGGGTCAGTATCTGTTCATATGTACATTTATATAAACATGTATAAATTTATATTTGTAAAAATATTCCTTGTCACGTCACATCAATCTATTCATATCAGTTTAACACTTCGCTATCAGACTATATCTGATATGTGAACTTAACCTAAATTTTATACGTATACTTAACCTAAGGTCAGGGTTAAAGGTTAACCTATGATCACAGTTTAAGGATAACTAAGGTTACGTGTGACCAAAATAACTTGAAGTTACTTGAAAATTTAATCAGATACTTGAAATTCGAATGTGAACCGCGGAAATAGTATTTATTTGTCATTTATGATGTATATATATCTGTAATTATGCAACTTGGGCCCATCACAGGTACGAGTTCGAATCCCGACTGGGATTTTTTACACGCGATGATTCTGTTCATGTGTCTAACGGAAGCGTAATGGTTTTATTGAGGTGCCCACTCGAGTCTGTAATAATTGAATACACGAATGGTCATCTGAGGTTTTCCTCCGCAAAATCAAGCTGGAAAGTCATAATATGACACTGACAGTGTCGCCGTGACTTGAAATCCTGTCAAAAACGTAACTTGAACCTCGCATGAAATAAACTTAGCTCGTTATGGCAGCCAAGAATTACTTTATTTGACCAGGATCGTTTATAATACATGTCACGGTTCAGAACTGTTCACTACTTAGGGGAGAACACGTGTGTGCTTGTAAGCTGCCGGATAGCTCTGTTGGTAACGGTATTACAAGGGTTCGGTTCGAGTCCCGATCAGGGAGCACATTTTCTCACCCTCTGACATATATTATATACATTCCTGATCTTGAGCACAACTACCTTATTATATTTGTTTTGTATTATTTTCTTACACGTTACTTTTTTTCGTTCTAGGTGCAGGTCTAGGCCTATTATATCTTCCATCTATTGTAACAGTGGGACATTATTTCAAGAAAAGGCGGGCACTAGCTACGGGTATAGCAGTATGTGGGAGTGGCATAGGAGGTTTTGTGTTCGCCCCACTTAGTGAATTTCTTATAGAAAAGTACACTTGGAAAGGAGCTATGTGGATTATATCTGCTGTAGTTCTAAACGGTATTCCAATAGCCATCTTATTAAGGCCCTTAAAAGGGGCCGAGGAGGAGGACAAAAAGCGTAGAAGTATGCTAAAGGGAGGAGCTAAGGGCGATGCCAATACAAACCTGCTTGAGGGTGAAACAGACGATTGTGAGGACAAAAAGTTGTCTAAATGTGCACAGTGTTGTGACGTATCGTCAATGTTCGATTTCGAGTTGTTGAAAAGTCCGACATTCCTTGTCTACGGATTGTCCTGTTTTCTATGCATGTTAGGTAAGAGTTACAAAATAACCGACATATTTCTATTCATGAACAATCCCACACCGTTTTAAGAGGCAAATAATTGGACAAATTTGTCAATCATTTCAGTTTCTCCCCTCTAGTTGAAGTAACCGCTCTCTTTTGCCCAAAAAATATGTGGTTATTGACATTTAATAGCAGAATGTGTTTGAAGTCAAAATTGAATGGTTATATAACATTTTTTTTTTTGAAAATTGGTTTGGGGATAAAAGTAAGTTAGTAAAAACTCAGGTTTTCTGTTTTCAAACGTATCATTTTTCAAAACGAAACAAAACCGTTTTATTGTCATATTTTAATGACTTATATATCATTTTTATAATTTGAACAATGAGACTATTGTCTGGCTGCTGAACATCTGTTATTTAATACGTCTAATAAAAAGATGAAATTATTTTTGTCACCAAGAAAGGACATAGTAAGCATTTTGACCAAAAATGTCCTGTTGTTGACCTTATGTGTTTAGGGTTACAAATTGACTTCTTGGCGTGAAAAGTCATATTAAGTGTGATGATTAATTTCAAGGCAGATGAAACAAATAAATCAAAATGTTATGGTGATTAATCAAACGACAATTTACTGTATGATTTATTTCCTCAGCAGATGACACTGTGAGAAATAAATAAATAAGACCCTGTTTAACCAAACGACATTTTAATGTTTCAGGATTTTTCATTCCATTCACTTACATTCCTGATCTCGCAGACGACTTTGGTATGACGTCACAGCAGGGAGCCATGTTGATCTCAATCATTGGTATTTTGAACACAGTCGCACGTGTTTTTGTCGGTTGGTTGGCGGACCGACCTTGGGCTGATCCTCTGAAAATAAATAGCGTGGCCCTATTGATAGGGGGCGTGTCAACAATGTTCGTCCCTTATTATTCTCACTATGGGGCCATGTCTACATATTGTGTTGTGTTCGGAATTAGTATTGGTACGTATTATACAGGCTTCTGGCAATGTTTAGTATTAAATGAACTCCCTTCCCAATACTGGACGGTTTTACCGATTAATTATTTTGCAAAGTATACTTCAAATGTGTAAAGTTTTTACATTTACCCTTACATCGCTAAATATATATTATATGGACTATCGGGATAAAACCATTCATTATTTAACACAGGAGATTGACATTCTATCAATAATTGAAAAATATAAGCAAATAGTTAAAAAATAACGGCAAATGTACCCCTCTATACTATAACTATAAACTTATAGTATAGAGGGGTACATTTGCCGTTAACTTATAGTATAGAGGGGTACATTTGCCGTTAACTTATAGTATAGAGGGGTACATTTGCCGTTATTTTTTAATTATTTGCTTATATATTTCAATTATTGATAGAATGTCAATCTCCTGTGTTATTTAAAGGGAGAATTTCAAAATATGCAATGACAGTTCAGGCCATGCTCAGACATCACGATTGTGTCGGCTGATCTTGGTCTACACTGGTCTTATGGGTATCATCAATTGGGCACCAGCAGGCTAAGGGATTTATAAACAGACGTACAGTATATTTAAAGTAAAACTGTTTAACAAAACATAGCAAAAAAGAGTTTACAGTCCGAAAACTGGTTCAATACGTCACCTCATGATATTTACGTGAACCTTTTTAAAAACTGGATCACGAGTCAGATGTGGGGGAGAATGTTAAACATGATAAACAAGATTTATTGAAATTAAAATTTTCAGATGTTAGCTGATAATATAAAACCCTATATTTTATTTGAGTTTTGGAAAATTTAGTTGAATAGATAACATGAATGTCAATGACCTGGTGGTTATATAGTAAGTAAGACAAGGCTATGTCAAATTTGTCGTCTGCGTAACAATGTATTTAAAGTCACCAAAAGAAAGTTTAATTCCATATGTAATTCATCTTTGTTCTAAATAAGATAACAAACATGCCATGGCATATTCAGATCTACATTTGAGCCGCGTCACGACAAAACCAACATAATGGGTTTGCGACCAGCATGGATCCAGACCAGCCTGCGCATCCACGCAGTCTGATCAGGATCCATGCTGTTCGCCATCAGTTTCTCTACTTGTTATAGACTTGTAAGCGAACAGCATGGATCCTGATCAGACTGCGCGAATGCGCAGGCTGGTCTGGATCCATGCTGGTCGCAAACGCATTACGTTGGTTTTGTCGTGACGCGGCTCATTTGTATTATGTAAATTGTGACATATGGTATCTTGTTGATGATTATATATGAGTGAAAAAGTCGATTGCAAAAACAGTTTATCTTGTTTCATATTTTATTTTATGCGCTTTAAGTGTATAAAAAGGAGTAAATAAATAAGCGTCCAATCGATTTGGAGAAGTGAACAAGACATAAACCCAGCACTCTTGAATGATTACTGCATGCTTTTAACCATCAACTTTGCTACATAACGATTCTCTCTTGCAAAAACAAAACAATAGATAGCTTATATACATGCATTACCATTCTGGACCATCCAGATATACTTTGAAATACAAACAGACAATTTAAAGATGAGATTTTTATCAAGAAATTAATTTCTTTCAGCTGTCTTTGTATCATATCGATCAATTATAATGGCAGAGTTACTGGGAATAGAAAAGTTGACGTCATCATTTGGACTCGTCACAATGTGTCAGGGACTTTCAGCGTTCATTGGTGCCCCTATTGCAGGTTTGTCCTTATACACTTCACTTTATTATTAAGATAATTTGTGCTAAATTGCTATATGTACAGCCATGTTGCCGGTGCCGTTGTCGTTTTAAATATATCTTTCCTTCGGGTTGTTTGCCTTTGGAATTAAGAAAATGTCGAGCGTTGCCCCGCTCTTCGGTGTCTCTTGCTCAGACTCACCAACACATGTACCACCGAAATTTGGTTTTAAGTTTGTTTATTTATTTTGTAAAACAAGGCATGGAGTCATCTTAGTTTTATTCCATTCTTTGACATATTGTGAGAATTAAATGTTGTCGACACTAAAACTGCTTACTTAGTTTTATTAATTAAATGGATTATGACATATAATAGATCTGAATACTCGTTTTTACCTACTTTTGTTTTAATGAAAGGCCGCCTTTATATTATTATAAATTTTCCCATTAAAATCGCGTGAAACGTGTTGCATGAGATATTTGTTTGCAAAACAATGAATGCAAAAAAATTATACTTTTTATGATTGTTAAAGATGATGTGTTCATGATGTTTTTATGTATGTTATATCTGATTTAATGAAAGTTACTGTGAAAGTTTGAGTGAAAACTTGTTCCTAGCTACTTGTAGAGTGAACGTTTGCAATGAACGAACGTTGTAGTAAAAATTTACAACCTGCGTTGGAAGAATGTAATATTAATAATGTAAATTTGCACACACAAAAAAATGGATTTTTTTCCGAATGTTGACCAAAAAGTCTTTTTAATTAAAGTCCGTAAAATAACGAAAATTTCCAGGAAACGATTTAGAGAACTGAAACAAGAAATTGAATCTATAAGCAAAAGCCAATTTCCTTATTTTTGTTGTAAAAATACTTATAAATATTATACATTTTTGTAGACGAATTGTTATACATTTATGAAAGGGAGAGAATCTATTGGAATATATATGTCACCATTATTCCGCCTATTTAATGCACTTGTTAATCTAATGTTGCTAAATACCTTGTTTTCGTATAAACAGTACATGTTTTACTTCGTTTCAACTGTACTCCAGTACCTTTTAGCACTCACCGCTTAGTTTTACCTGAACGCTCATAATATGTTACGCCACATATATTATTTAAATGAATAATAAATATTAGACTTAAATTGAGAAACATAAATTAACATATAATGAAAAGTGTAACGATTTATATTACCATGATTTATATTATATTATATTATATTATATATTATATTATATTATATTATATTATATTATATTACATTACATTACATTACATTATATTATATTATATTATATTATATTATAAATATATTATATTATATTATATTATATTATATTATAGGTGCACTTTTCAGATGAGGCTGGAGATTACGAGGGGGCTTTTTATTTAGCTGGGGCGGCAATTGGGTTATCAGGGGCTATTTGTTTCCCACTGCGGGCGGTGTGCAGGTGGGAGCATAGAAAAGACAAATGTGTAGCTACCACTACTAATATTGAACTACAGAACGTAGAAAACGCCGTTGAAGTTTGATAGATGGACAATCATTGTCAACTTTCAGTGTTCATTGCAAAAGGGACATTTTATGCTGTGACATAGAGTAACAAATGCATCTGTTTTTACGTACTTACACGCTTGTATTTACATTCAAGATTATATAAAGTTCAAATGGTTTGTTCTACTCGGGGAGTATACATTTTTGTATAATGGTTGTTTATTTGAATTTTTTATTTAAATTCAATCTTCCAGATTTAAGATTGAATATCTACTTAAATAATTCAGTATTACATTATTTTATAAATAAATGTGATGTTTTCTTGTTTTGAATTACACGCTACGTTTGTTGAAAACATGCAATAAATTTGTGAAACGTTTTGTTTGATTTATCTTTATTCAGGACTACAAAACCTGAGACAAGACATGAGAACATGAAAATTAGCCCAGCAGGAAAGACTATCGCATTCATTATCCCATAGACTTACGCTTTCCTAAAATTTGAGTTTTTGTGCTAAAGAGTTGATTTTTCTAGATGTGTAAAGTTGGCGGCCTTGCGGCGTGATGTTGGCGGCCCAGCGGCCTGGCGGCGTGAATTTGGCGACCTTGCGGCTAGGCCGCGAACTTCACACATCTGATTTTTCTAGGAGAATAAAATGTCTGACACATAAAAATGATCTTTTGATATAGGGGTAGCCAATCATTTTTTTTTACAAAATGATTTCGAAGAGGATTACCCCCCTTTTCAATGAAAATTTCTGCTGATCACAGAGCTGACATACACTTTTAAATAATTGCAAATGTCCAAGTAATAAATTACCATTGACACTAACGAAATATTTAATTTTCTTAAGAAAACAATGCAGTGTCAGTTACTTAATTAATTTTAATACTTAATACATGTGATTGACTTGACTGCCTTGCCAACAATTATAATTTATAATATAAAGCTTTTTTTACAATGGTTAAACATTTGAACTAAACTGTCCTTCAATTTCAACATATTTTTTTTTCAATTTGAGAATACCTCTTTAAAGGTCGAATGCATAAAATCTTTTTACGTGAAATGTAGAGTTTATTGTCGCGAGATTCCTATGGATATTGCATCCTGTAATGATTGCCCTTGTCAATCATTATTGTAATTTTTGAGGTTAATGATATTTATTGGTTAAATCAAGTCATATCTTTCAAAAATATTGTGAAAGGAAGGTATGTCCTTCCGAAGCAATTTCTAAGTAACCAGATATAATTTAAGCTGGGTCAGAAAGGTACAGTTTTTCCATTTTTCCACTCTCATTAGAACAAAAGACACAAAAGAATATGGTTGATCTACCAGTGAAATTGCATGGAAATTGCAGGTTTGGTTTGATTGAGTCTGACGGTTATCGGAAAAGTGCACCGGCATTCAGGTCCCCTTAGCACCGCCCTTCAGGTCCCCTTAGCGCCAGTTTCAATCTTTAACAATTAATATGCTGGTATCAATGATCCAGAAGGACCAGAAAAATGAAACAACACAAAAAGTCTGAGAGAAAAATAGAAAAATCAAGAATATTTGCGTAGCTATGACAAATAGAATGAGAACTCTTTAAATATCTACAGTACTCAAAAATGGTTTATAAGTTTCAGTAACAATTGCTCACATTTCCGTGCGGAATTGTGGAATAAAATCAGTTGTGTTTTGTGCATTTATGTATAGTTAGTTATACGGCTTAAGACTACATTAATTTGTTATCTATTTACACACGAACTAAGATTTATCAAAGGGAGGTAAAATGATTTGTGAATTGCAAAGTTTTAAATAATTCTTTTTTTTCCATTTCAACGGTTGAAATAATAAGCACGTTCCCATCGTGTGAACACTCTTAAAAACAGTGGCATTAAAACCTTAAAACAGCTTCATTCGGCAAAGAGGACCATCATAACCGAGATGGTCTTGGAATACATACTACAGTATAGGCATAATGGCACAGGCTTCTTTTTTCGGATCCTTCGTGATCATTGATAATAATAAATTGAAAATGTATTGCGTTGAAAGTTGAATAATGCGTAGGCCGGTGCAAGGGGATATAGAAGAGCGCTTGGTCCGACTTCACAGATGTCCAGGCTGGCCTATTTCTGTACTAGGGACAAAGGATAATAATTTTTGGGCTCTAGTAGGTTAACTTAGTGTTATATGTGACCCCACATGTATGCCGTTCCATGCTTTTTCATAGTTAGCTGCACATAGCCTCAGCAGAAACAAATGATATTTGAAACAGTATTTTTCCGAATTTGCATTTAGATCTTATGAGCAAAACAGATCTTATCTGATACAATAAGTGTTATTCTTACGAAACTGTTATCAAGTATGCATCAAACCATTGGCCTTACATATCCGATGAAAAGTATGTCAGAAAATTTCACTTAACTTCTCATGCCGTTTTGATTTGAATAGATCAATGTAATAACAACGCTCAGAACTTCAAAAATTAAATTGTATCAGGTGACGATGATTTTGATTCCACCTGTTCATGACACAGCATAATTATAATACATGCTGACTTTTGTCCGCATCAACCTGTCAAGACGGAGACGGATTTCAATATTTTAATTTAGATGATAAAACAATTATAATACTTGAAGCACACACCGTTGTGTTGGTAATACTTCACACAGCGACGAGCAAGACAACCTCAATGAAACATTTTCTGGTCATTCTGTACAGCGCATGCACTCCCCATCAATAAAATAAGTTTTACAAAAGTATTAGTATGACTTTAAGTAATAGAAAGAGCATCGAAACACGAGGCTATCTGATTTGTACGAGGGGGCGTAGCTCCCGAGTATTGATTAGATTGCCGAGTGTTTTGATGTTCTTTCTCTTTTGTATCATAGTCAAACATAAAAACACGTTCCCTGTTGTCACAAGGAAAACCCCAAGAAAAAGTTACCAATGAAGGAGCATCTGAATAATTATGATACTCTACCGCTTTCCATTTCTCTGCCGCCACAATAAGTAAACCCCAGCAAAAGTGAGTCAATCAATGGGCATGCTCTGGAGTGCGGGTCACTTATACCTGCACTCCAGTTACCGCACTATGCATGTATATGTATACGACTTAACTCGGACACATTTTCAACAGAAAGGTCCCCAAACTATGATACAAGGAAAAAATACTAGGTAAAACAAATAAAATAGGATGTAGAGAGAGAGAGAGAGAGAGAGAGTGGGTCAGAAGTTGCTAGAAGTAGACGCCTTGATATCACTAGCTACTATTAAAGAGCACATTTAGCATGAATTATCTTCAAAAAGATAATCAGCAGTGGTATACCAGGAGTGTTCTAAATTCAGAAGTGTCAATGCTTAACAATGTCAAAGGACTAATTTGCTCAGTACTTTCTGAAAACATTTTTTCTGAGATTGACCGCGTTATGCCCTGATTGGAGCTTAATGCTTTCATTTAAAATTGTCGGAGGTAAAACATAAACAACGAGCTATAGCGAATAATGAATAAGAAAACACTCTCGCTTTCTTTGTTTAAACTCACTAAAGCAGCGTCAAGAAACTCAAACCTTGAAACATAAAAATAATTAGTATGATGTCATACCGGTAAAAAGAACGCAAATAGTCCGTAAATCCAACGGCTAAAAATAGTCACATACCTTAATTTAAGCAATATCAAACAATTAATATCTGAATGGGAATATCAGCGATTGGAATATTTGTTAAAACTTTATTCATTCAACATATAACAAGATGAAAATTTAAAATAAGTCAGTCAGCAGTTTACAACCTGGTAAGACTCCGTGGATGTGCTCTATATTAGAGGCAATGGATTGTCACTTTCAAGAACAGCATGAAAAGGCTTAACTACTAGTATGTTTTATTTATTCAACTTTTGTTGTTCCCGCTCTGTGAATCCCGCTCCCTCTCGTTGATCTTTGTTAACTAATTTATTGCATCATTATTATTATTATCATTATCTGCTTTTTAATTAGACGAGCATCTACAGCTTAATTGTTCAATATGAGATTTGAACAATATAAAGATAAATAAATCAAAAAGTGAATACCAATTACATGCTGAGTGCTGGATAATTTCAATACAACTAATTTCAACATGTGCCAACTTTGCCCTGTCCTGTTTTTGTTTGATGTCCTGCTGGCAAACAAAAAAGTTTAATCTTAACATGCACAAAACTATTTTTAAGTCAATTTTTAAGTTTTTACTCCGAAACCCTTTAATTCTTTTAATAAACTGCTCTCAGTTCAAAGCAAGCAAATCCATTACACAAATTCAAAATGTTCATAGATTATCTCACACTTGGATTCAAACCAAAAGACGGAAGAAATGTTAACTATTTTAGACCTTCAGATAATGGTTTAAAAGCATGGTTACCAAACTACATTCTGTTGAATGCTATTGCATAACAGTATTCACCTCTGCATAGAATTAATAAAAACAAATACTGATTGGCGTAATTCACATTAATATAATTAATGCAATTACTTTATTTAACAAAACCGTACAGTTTAAATGAACTTAAAAATGTTTATGGTAGAAAATAACAAAAAAATAATAACAGATAAAATAAAGATATAAGAAAGCAAGAAGACAATCATTTTGATTCGTTCTATTGATCGTAGCTGATTTTAGAAGAGTATGCAAGCAAGTAATTTTCTTCCATACTTGTAACATGAGCTTATATAATTAACTTGCTAGCTGTCAAGAAATTCAACTGAGAGTTGCAATACTCTGGTCATTCGCATGTTTGCCCAGGACTTCAACTTGTACTTAGAGGTTAATACTTGGTTGCTGCCCGGCAATATGCGATAATGGCTTTTGAGTTTATTATGGCCTAAGGGCCGCATTTTTTTTTACTCTTGAAGGGATCTCTCCATTTATTTTTTGTTCTAGTCTCATAATACAATTACCACGATTTGAAACAAAGCTATACAAAAAGGTAAAAATAAGATTCTGAAAATACATGCCATTATAACATCATAGTAAGAAAAATATTTATAAACAGAGTTTTCATTTCACAGAAATCAAGATTATTTTCACTTTATAATGATAGGAAATTATCTGGTTTTGTACATGCTATAAATTCTAAAATACATGACATGTTGAAATATGTACATTTTTTCGCTTTAGATGTAATACCACAAAACAAAACAAAGCAAGTTCAATTCGCATACATTACATATACAGATGTACTAAATAAAAAAACATACCGGTAACAAAGTGGTTATAAAAACGTCGTACTGTGCTTTCAAGCATTAAATATTGCAACAAGATATATCTATAATGTACCCTTTTGCATGTATTTATCTTTATTGTACATAATATATTCAACACAAGAATATAATTTCGCATTGTCATTCCTCACTCCTGGTCTGACTTGGCAACTTCATGTCAATTTCAAAGAAAACCGTTTTATATTGTAAGTCCATTAAACCCACATGAAGCTTAACCTCAGCACCTTCGATCATACTTTCACTGTTTATAGTTTCTGTCCCAGGAACAGGGACCGTTTCTTACGACTATCTGCGGATTTCACAGAAGTCACCTTAGTATTGGCGTTGATGACGACGCTTCTCGCGATCATCATACCGCTTGTCAGTTATAGCCAGCATGCACACGTTTTGGTGCAGTCAGCATATATTATTGCACTTATGATGAAACGTTCTGACTCTTAGTCTTCTGGCACCTTTTCAACCTTGATGATGATTTCTTCCTCCTTTCCGTTTTGGCCATGATCGATGCAAAGTAGGATCAGGCAAAATATTCCCGACAAAAAGTACATACCACCAGCAAAGCTAAATGGCATCAAGTACGAATCGAACGTCTCATAAAGATAACCTAGAAAACAATGGAAACATTTAAAAGAAATGTACCTTAAGTGTATTAAGACTTTAATATTATGTGTATTTTAAACTGCAAGATTCATGATTACACTGATTTCAAACGGTTATCGTAATTGGAAATGTTCCAGGTTCGGTTTAATTGACGTTTTATTGTTTAAATGAACCGTTTTCTGTAAAGACATTTTTATAAGTACACAAATTTCATTTAATCTGATTACCTGTTTTTATCAATTTCTAAAATTATTTTATGACAATGTTACAGACTTTGGCAATGAGCTACTTAAATAAAAGGTGATTGAAACATATACCTGCCAAAGGTGCGTTTGTGAGAAATGCTACACCTTGGAACATAGCTACCATCCCAAAGCTTTGTGTCAATTGTTCAATTCCCAGATGATCTGCTAATACAATTGTTCTCATCGATACAACGGTTGCTGAAAATAGTCAAAAGTATATGTTGACGGACTGAACTTAGAACAAAAACAATCAAGGGAAGTTAGCAATGCTAAATTTGAAATTTTTGGACCCAAAGGGAATAATTTGAAATTAACCTTTAGAAATGTGTGTTAGAAATGCTATTAGATAAAGGACATACCCATGCATAAGCCGAATATTGCACCACACGTTGCTAATGCAAGAAAACTTTCACACCATGGCATCAGAAAATTTACAAGAGACGCTGTGAACAACGCAGCTGTATACGTCACAGAACTTCTTATTCGGAACATATCGGTGATTATTCCGGAGATGATTCTTCCAAATATGTTTGTTATACCGACGATAGAGATCAACGTTGCTGCCTGTGAGCTAGGCAGTCCCTTAGAGATGCCAAGATCCGGTATGTACGTCAATGGTACAGATTGCACTGAAATAACATATAAAACATGTGAAAACCTAAGGATAATCAAGTCAAGTTTATATTTCATTTTTATATAAATCATGGTATTATATAATAAAATATCAGATACGTAGTGTATTTAATTTAAATTGTGCGATTAAGTTTGTTAAGACACAGATATTAAAAGTGAAATAATATATGGATAAAAATGTGAATGAGTGTTTCAAATCGCCCATTTTAAACTGTTTCAATCATAATTATTTAAAATACATGTGCATGATAATAACATTAATTATTTAGCAGTTGCCATTTTTAACATATTTTTATCCTTTATTTGCGTAAGAATGATACTAATACATAAGTGTCATTTGATACATAGGTAACATATGTAACAAGAAAGTAAACTTCTTTATGATATTCTAATTCCTTATGTAAACAGCAGTTACTCAAAATGTACACCAAAAATGTAGTTTAAATTTATAACTAGTTCAATCAAAATGGTCATGTTAGACAAAAGAATGTCAAAGAATATCCAATGAAATTTACACATTTATTTACTGGCTCAAAGAAACAATCATTCCACATACTTTTTTAATGACTGTTATTACGAAAGAAAAATCTGAATATGCATAATTGTACAAAAATCTACGAAAGCTTCGATGAAATTTAGACATTAAATCTAAATATCTAAAAAAACTAAATTTCAGACCGAATATTGCCATCCAATATGTGCTTTGATTTAAATTTCCATTTGCTATACAGACAAACAAATGATAAAGCTCAAACATTTACCTTTTGTCCAGAAAGCTGACAATGAAATCATCTTTGTTTCTGGACATTTTAATTATTGTATAATAAATCACTGTTCAAGGTATTGATATTGGAAAGGTACATAAATACCATTAAATATGTTGTCCTCTTCGAATCAGTCGAAATAGATAGAGAAAAAATATGAAATTAAAATGAATGAGTTTGCAAATCTAGGTACTGAAATGTTTAGCGGCTCTATATAATGTTTCCAATATACGCATAATTGGTATTATAAAATTGAAAATGCACTTTTGTAAATGTTGCCATAACTTCAAGAAAAACAAATATAAACAGTGATTTATCATTGGTGCTGAAAACAGTCACAAGACAGTTTCGATAAATTGTCATGAAAAATAGCTGAATACTTCAATAGAATATTGCCCCTTACATATACCTCATAGAAAATTACAACAAAATCTCACGGCCCATCCACGTGACCTCGTGAGTGGCCCGGCCTGAAAAAGAATGTATTGTTACGGTATCAGGGGTGCTATCCATTTCTTATAAACAGTTATATATCATGGGTGCAAAATGTGGTTAAATGTGTCAAGGGCAAAATGTACTCAGTTCAAACAAAGAAATGACACGTTGCTTCAAAGTTTTGTTGCGTTAGTGTCAAATATGTACTCTGTGCATTTATCCATTAGAGTAATGAAAAGTGCTCACTTAACTACTAAAAATAACCCTATCAGTTCACAAAAGTGGTGATAAACTCCATTTAACAGAGAGCCTCCAAATGTTCGTACTCAGTACTTATTTATTGCATGTAAAATCATGGTGTAAAGGAAAGTTTACAAGTAGAATACCGTTTAAACAAGACCAGTTTTACAACGATCATAACTACAATGATCATCCATCAAACTTAACTGTTGCAAGAGATCCAATGTTTTAACTTCATTATTGATATTCATCTACAACCAATCTTTCATATGACCAACACTGGTTTACATATCTTTAATCAAAGACACAAAATGCTCACTGAGCTAGTTCATTTCAATTTTTCTTTACATTTTCAGACTGCAACTGGGTACAATGTTACCTGACTTCATATCAATTGTCATTTGGTCGCTTTGATATATTTCTTTGATCTATTGCTTTAATCTATTTCTTGTACGGTTGTTCACCAAAACATACAAGACGTAATGTTGTGTATTCTAAATAACATTTTTTTTTTCAGAACAACAATTATATTGGCATATCTGGTAGAGAATACTCGTTTCCAAGTGAATTGCGAACTACAACTGTGCCACTGGAAATAACAGGCAAGGTATTTTTAATTTCTACGAACAATTTCATTTTTGTAAAAATTGAGGTACTCATTTACAACAATTGTAAAGCACACAAATACTATACAGGATTGTAAATTGCACACGGACGATTTCTTTTTCAAAATACACAGATTAAGGAAGATAACTTGTGTACTTGACTTGATATGAATCGCAAAGTACAAAAAGAAAACACATGGACTGACTTTAATGCTCAACTGAAGCACTGCAAACCTAATAGTATCCTATCATCATTTGAAATTAAAGGCGTTATCGCTATTCGTTTCAACCACACAAATGGTTCGTGCTTTTCTGAGACAAAAACAAATACCCGACGTCTCAAGTAAGATTATAACTGTAAGTTTTGATGCTGCTAAAAATAACGAAATTTAATTTGTATTACCTTAATCAAACAAATGAATAACAGATGCGCATAATTACATTTTACTGTTGTTTTTTTCCAGAATGATTTCAGGTGAGTCTAAAATAACACAACCGAAAATTAGAACAAATGATACATATAATGAAAATATGATTCTGTAGTACAGACAATTGCCCTTGTAAATGGACAGCTAGCTATATTCATTTTCTCGGACATCATGAAAGCACACGCATATGTACGTGTATAATAGCCTCTAATAACTGTGTATTTATAGGAAAAAACGGTATCTTACGTATATATAGTCTAATCTTGCAGGAGCGAATTATAAAAATAAAAAGTACCTGTCCAGCCAACATTTGTCAAGAGTAGCAAGACAAATATTTTGTTGTTAAACAATGCAAAGTTCCTCTTCAGAGCACCGACGACTCTACCGCACTTGGACTTATCTGCAGTGTAAGCCTTTCCATTGGAAATACTCAGATCGTCTGAATCTGGTTCAACTTTTGCAGAGCTGCTGCATCGATGTGGAAGGCGTGCTAGGGAACCACTGTAGAAAACATCCGTTCTTGACATTTGATTTGAAACTGGTTTCAAGACCTTTGAAAAGTCATGCTGACTCAAAAACGTCTTTGCGTGACTTTCTTCTGCTAATATTCTATCTTTCTGCATGCATGCCAACTCTGTGCTCATTGAAAGTCTTGATGGCAAGTTACATGTTCGTAGATAATTAAATGGTGGTTCCTTTTTAGTTAAAAGGGTTTTGATTTCTGCAATGTCTATAACGTCAAAGGAACTATTCGATGATAAATCTTCAGATCTAGAGCGTTGAAGTTTCGGTCTAGTAACAGGGCGGAATAGAGCTCCACAAACAATCCCATTTAGTAATATACCTCCGAGTATCAATACTGTCCCTCTCCAGTCATATCTTGATAGTAAAATATTTGTCAGATATGCATATGCAAATGTCCCTAAGCCACTCCCACTCATTGCTATACCAGTTGCAATGGCTCGCTTCCGATGGAAGTAGGTCCCAACGACAATGATGGCAGATATGAAAGACATGCAGAATCCAATGCCTGAAATGTTAAAATATTTTATTCCAAATGAAAATATGTAAATGATCATGCCGGAATGATTAGTATAATCGTTTGACTTTTTTACTTGCTTTTCGGACTGTGACAAATAATAAAACAGTTTCAATTTTATATGCCATTTAGGTACTTTACTAGCAATTGTGGTCAAAATTAAATCGAAAATTAAATTGAATTTAGTCTTGTTATCCTCAGCACAAGTAAATGTTTTTCAAAAGTTAACATGATGAAAATAAAGTAAAACCCAGTTAGGGCCAGCGCAATTTCTCTGGGTAAGGAAAAATGCGAGGTACGACAATACGACGGTGACAATACGACAGTTCGATAGTGACAGACTCGTTCTCAGAGAAATCGCGCTGGCTCTAACGCAACACCCTACTTGTAGGATACAGAAATAGTTTTTATCAGCTTTAACATGTATTGAACAAAGAAAGTGTGAAGTCATTACCTCCGATGATGCCATACGTTATAATGAGTATTTCCACATTGGGAGAAAATGAACTAACGACGAATCCGACCACAGATAATGCTGTTCCAGCTATTGTAATCTGACGACAACTGTATCGTTCCAGTAGCATACTAACAATTGGTCCTGTCATGTCAAAAAAAAGAAGAAAATGAATAGTACATATGCAATATATACACTGTAGATACAAGTAATTCGTTCAAAGTATTGTTAATACAAGGATAGACATAAATCATGAAGATAAATAAAAAATATGCTAATACAGACTTTAGATTTTGTACTGTGTTTGATATAATGTAAAAAAAGGAGAACGGTAACAATCAAAGAGGACTGTTTTCACAATATCGCAACATTGTTTGGCTTGTTCCGCAAAGATTGAGCGTTAAGCGTTGGAAATGTTTCATTAATCAAATGTTTATCACTGGGCCAACTTTGCTTGTATACCACACAGAAGATGTGTATCTTTATCAGATACATTAATTACAGGCCAAGTGAAGTTGTTCTGACTATTTCCACTGGGGCATATATAACTTGCAGAGCTGTTTGTTTTTATTTACACAGTACAGTATAGATTTCGTCCTAGATACTGGCTTTGTAACATACTTTCTGACTAATATTAAGACCAGGTTAATTAACTGTTTAGAAATGCCCTGTTTATATGGGAGAACACAAAAAATATCTTAGAATAATCATAATGGTTTTATGAGTTGGATGAATAAGTTTCCAGATGTATGTAATTATGTATACTTGATTGACAGTCCATTAAGTTCCATTGGTCAAGTATCTAACCACGTTGACCTTTGAATTAAGAGATTTTATGCTCAGTTAACCAAAGTAAAGTTCTGATAGAAGAATAGAGATAACAGCGTAAGAAGCACTTTCTATCAATCTAGATCTATGTTACTGGGCCAATACTCTAATAGAAGTACATTAGCGCGATGAATAAATTGCATTGATGCCGTTCTTTTTCAGTGTTTTTCTCTCAATTAACAATGACAATTCAGCATTCCCATGAATCTTTCTATACCTGTCAAGAGTGCAAGACGAAAAAAAATATCTGTGTTGGCATATTTAATGTTTTCTGTACTTAACCACATATTCCCTAACATAAATATGTAACAAAAATTATCGGATTATGCAAGTTTTAAAAAAATTAAAAAAGAAGAGATGTAATTATTTAAATGCTTCGTGAAGCAAAGGTGAGAAGCGAGCAAATCTGTGTTATCACTTAGAAATTGAAATTTCCTTAAAAAGCATAGTTTTTGCGGTGAGGGGGATCTTTTTAATTTCTCAAAAACAATTATCATAGATTTCAATACTTAAAGTAGATTTTTTTATAAACAAGTTTATCAAGATTAAGAACCGTATCACGATCAAATACTACTTACCTACATACGCGATATATTTGTGCCCATTCAATCACAGACTATATAGTATGTGGATAGCACGCGATGTTAACGTGTGCCAATAGCTTTTTTTCTGGCAGTTTCTTAGACAAAAAAATATGATTGTCAGTCACAAGATATATCTAATTATGTTAGTCTTTTTGTGACTTACTTTTTATTTGGCGGATTTATATTGTATTAGACGTAAGACATTTCTATAGGCAGATCTACATATTTCCATGTCAAAACTATGGGGTATTAAACAAAGGTTAATAAAAACATTTTTGCCATCGTCAAAAATTTTAAAGAAGCCAATTGGTATCGTAGATATTTAACAACTCAGGCTGTATAAAATGTTCAATGTCATTAGGTTCGTTAAATACCCTTTCTTATTATCTAATTGCCAAAATCCTAGACCGAATTATCTATGTTCTTGTGGTAAAGAAAAACAGCAACTCACCCATAAACATGCTCATCCCTAAAAGAGATGATCCTATCCACGCGGTCTTTGACTTCCCTTCACCAAAGTAGTCCAACAATTCTATTAACAGTAAACCAAATGAAAACATTGTCCCGTCTAATATAAAGTTGATAAGAAAACTGCCAAAGCAGACAGCCCAGCCCCAGCCCCCGTCTTCCGCACCGTCATCATCAGAATCGGAGCTCACCGAACTACCCTCGGGGCTTTCCTCTGCCTTCACAAACTTCCCCATTTTCTGTATTTTTTTCCAAACACGTTTAACTATCCGCTGATGATGCTCTAGATGCTCACAAATACATTCTGAAAAAGTCAAGTTTACACACACCTGTTGTATATAAGTAAATTTGTTCGGTTAGCAATCTATGAATCACTATCCACTGTTGTTCTATTGATTAACTCCATCTCCATCTAAATACTACGGCGCAGTTAAGTTTCCGTACAATAAGTGATATCTTTTTACGTTACTATCTCAGCTTTTTAAGATGTGTTGGAAATTTACTTAACCTTCATTTTTCTGGGAATCTATGACGAAAGCATCGACAGGTCCATGCTGCCAGTGTAGAATCTGATCGAATTGTATCAGCAATGGAAACTGCTCAGATTTAAACAAAATTGGTGACTTTACGGTTAATACAGTTGTTTAAATTGCAACAACAAAACTTTAAACCTCAATAGCTGACATGCGTTTAGAAATATATAGAAGCTAGTGTGTTATTGCACTGTATAAATATTAAGGAAATAAATTGAAAATGACAAAACCACACGTCCCTATTTCACATATATTTATGAAAGGATATTAATATAAATGTATGTCATAGTACATTCGTTTCAATATAAATGAACCGAACTGGTATGATATCTAAGCAATGTTTTTGGAATGTTTTAATTACAAGAAATGCATAGTTACCTTCATAAAATGAACGTTTCACACATTTATTTCATGCTTTCCAGTGTTTTATTGTAATATATCAGATGATTATATTCTGATAAACCACTAGTGAAATTTATAAAATATAATTTTCACTGTAGCCGGACTATATCTAAATGCGGATGAATAGAAAATCATAACGAAATGGAATAACAGGCAGAAATAAATGCTGTCATGCGTAAATTTTGCTTCTTTAGGAAAAGAAAGTCAATGTCACCATACATCATGTTAAAAATGTAACAAAATTAGACAAAATTTAACAGAACTATATTTCAAAATTAATGATGTGACGTCATGATGTGATGACGTCACAAAGGAGAATGCGCGACGTTACGCGGCAAAATCAGTAAAAAATACTTAAAATCACTTAAAAAGCATGAAATAAAAAGAAAATTTATTTGTTTTACATATAAGATTGAAATATATTTCATTCGTGAACACCAGCTATTATATTTTCACTCGTGGCTACGCCACTCGTGAAAATATGGCATCTGGTGTTCACTCAGTGAAATTATATTTCAATCTTACATGCAAAACAAACAAATATCCTCTATTTGTCTATTTAATTTATGTCCCGCAGAATAAGTGATATTTTATTGAAGGAATTACCGGTATTATAATTATTTGCATTGCACATATTGATATTTTCTGTCATTTATTCATAACAGTGTCAGTAAGGTTTGAATGAAACAAAAGAAAAAACAAAACAAATGCGGATTGGATATTGAGCACATTTTAGATGATTATCGTATTTTAGAAACATCTCGAAATAACATAGATTGCATAGATAGCAATGCTTTTGAAATAGAACTAACAACTTAATAAAGAATAAACTAAATCTTGACGCAAAAACCCTTTCTGAAAAAAAAAGTTTTTTTTAATATCATTTTTATCTGCAACAAAGGTTAAGTATAGTACCTCATAAGAATTAAGTAAAACTCCAGTTAATAACCAAGTCACTTAATAATCTCGGTCGAGACTTTAAACTAACAACAAAACAATTCAAAGGACAAGTAGGTAAAATATCACATATAAAACTTTTAAAACTGGTTGAAACCAGTACAAACAAGAATCATATGTAAACAAAATATAAACGTTCTGCGTTTTAAATTACAAACTGTACTTTTTTTTATAATGGATGGTAATAAGAAGCTACATGCGGATACTAATATAACTCCATACATAAAAGAAGGTGTAACATTAAAAACACATATAAATCGATTCCTTGAAATTACAAGCAATACAAGTGCATGAAATGCAATATTGCATTAGTTATAACTTCAATAAAATGTCACTAAGTTTACACTTCGGAACATACATTAAAGAGACAAATGCGAAATATTCATTTTATGATGCTAATTATGTATAATTAGATATTTGCGCCAGCTCGTGGGACTTAGCAAACGTCCTGAAAACCGAAAGGTGTGAGACAATAAGTATCGGAAATTGATCAAAGAAAGTGAACAGAAGTGAACAAAATGCGCAACATAATTTATGCCTCCTAGCACCGCTTTAATCATGAAGTATGCAATGTTCAAGTACAGTAAATTTGTTTGAATCTCAATAAAGCTATTATATTCGAATATATTAGACAAGAGTAATGAAACCATTAACAACACCAGGATCGACAAAATGCGATTTAATACTCACCATGACATTGCTTCAAAAATTCATTTTCATAACTTACAATGATGATTCCTCGGAAAAATGACAACAACAATATTATATGCAAATGGCAGACTCGGTTTGATGGAGTCTGTTCATAAAAGATAATGTAAAAGGCGCAACTTCTCTCATGTCCCCAAAGCACCGGCTTAATGCTAAATCTTTATAACTAACGTGATGGGATCAATGATCCCGAATAAATAGAAAGAAATAACGAGAGTGAAGAGAAAAAAGGGGGCAACTTTTGGCAGCTGTCACACGGCCCTTGACTGAAGTATAAACATCTTAAAAAGTGGTGATTCCCCGGAAGAAATGAAAACAAAATTACATAGAATGAAAGTCTTGGTTTGAGTCTATTCATAAGAGATAACGTAAAAGTGCTGCATCTTACACGCACCCTAGAACCGGCATACATGATCAATGTATTAATATTAAGAGAGGTCCCAGACAGTGTTGGTTTAATTTTTTGTCAAAGCCATTTTGTATGTTCATCATAATTTTGCTTTTAGCTTAAGATATGATGATGTTATTTGTGTTACTGTTGTGTTATTGTTATACTTTACGATTATATACAATAAACTTTGGTTGTATGTATATCGGTCTCTTGTACAAAATATATTCATTTATAAATCCTATATTATTGTACATCGTAAAGTACTTTTAACATTTTAATTGCATGAGCCTTTAAAATCAATTTTGAAAAAAAAAACAAGAATAAAGCTCAACAAGGCAAAGGCAACGTTCACAGGACGCAGCCCCCCCCCCCCCCCGACACACTCTAGTACGGCACCCAGAAGGCACCAATGACCATCAACATTACAAAGAAATGTCATTATAAATGATGTACTTACACATAAATTATCCACTCTTTTTGTATACTAAAATACTTCTAATAAATGTAACGATTTCAATGTATAAGTTAAACTGTGACCTCAGGTATAATTTTCAGAAAGCGACATATGGTAGCAATATTGTATGTTAATCTATCCTCACAAATTTATGTGTTGTTAGTAAGTTATTTTGTTTTATGGTATACGTGAATTAATAAAGAGGTCAGGCACAGCTGGTTTCTTTATCTGTATCACACCAACCAAGGTCAAACTGTAATTTCTTTTTGCTAAATTCACAAACAATAACGTTATAATTTGTGTATGAAAATAAGCTAATTTTGACATAAGTCTGTTGATATATCAAATTTGTCATTGTATCTGTTTAAAATGTCATATTAATTGCACAACTGTTAAGTTAGTTATGTAAACATTTATAAACATGTTTACACATAAATGTATTTAAGCCCGCTTCTTTAAGGCAAATATACAGCTAGGTCCAGTTTTTCTTTATTATGTAAAAAATGTTGGTCAGTACTTTCCTGTAAACTATATCGAGCACATACCACTATTCACATGATAGGATGTTCATTTACGTAGTATAGATCCTTTTAATTAATAAAAAATATTAAACGGAATCCGTAAAGAACGCCCTAAAAGGCAAGATTGAAATGTTGCAAGCGCGGTGTATGGATGGTAAAAGTAATTGCTAAGCTACCGTTCACACCCCCTGGCACCGGCTTAAGCGGTATTCAACATTTAAGTATGATATAGTGAAATGTTTAATTTAGAAACATTATAGTAAATCATTATACATTATTGAGTGCAACAGTGAATGCTATCGGACGAGTACATAGCACACAATTATATAGCGTCTCGTCTGATATAAGTTTTGCAGCTTTGTACGATTTAAATAAAAACAGTCTTGTACTCTTTGTAAAATACATGTATCATGTTTATTTCACCCCATCGATCTCTTGACATTTTAACAGAACTTTTTTTACTTCGGTGCAATAAGGATTTGATATGGAATTTTGGCAACAAGGCTAGACAAAGTACAATTTGATATTGATTTTTTGGACTGGTGTCAAACGAGATTTTAAAATCGTTTGTAACCTCAAAAAACTACAGAATTGATTGGAACAACAACTCTGAAGTATTACGACATGGTATGCATGTACATGTTTATTTGTCGAGAGAAAAAAATGGATTTTTATCAATGAGATTTTGCATAGGTCAGAAATAGTTGTATCACCATTAACATAATGAAGACCTTGTTTTAGATATCTAACATTATCGTGCTATGATAGCATATCAATTACCTTTAGCTTATATCACATATAAACTGCACTTGTCAATCGTCAGATGAATTGAACTTGCCGTTATAAACACGTGCATGCAATAAAGATACCTGAACACGCCATAATCAACATCTACATGTACTTATTCATAATTTTCTATTATCTTTTTATGTCGATATATTGTACCTACGTTTATGTCATTTTGGTTCCCATTTTAAGGAACGCTGAAATGTTTCAATTCAACTTGATAAATGAATTACATGTATATTTGTATAATTACGTGATAAAGCCTTGTTGAAGTGTTTACAGGAAAATATCCATGTACATACGCTTGTTAAACAACACTTAAGAATTAAAGTAGTGACAGCGCAAATGAGTCCAAATAACATGTTAATTATAATTAAATTATGAAACTTTTACTCAAAATGATTTTTTAAAAGCTTTTATATCTTCCATATAGCTAAATACTTTTTTAATTTAGTATACTTTTATTATGTTTACAAGTTAACATATAAATTGATTTTTTTAAAGGACAGATTAATTAGATTGGATGCACATGAATACATTTATTAATTCTTCATTATAAATGCTTTAATCTCCTATGATGGAGGTAATAAAGAATCTATCTATCTATCTGTAAACATTCAAAATAGTGAAATTAATATACCTCGATAAATCTAGTACATCCAATGTCAGCCACAATCAGTTTTGCGAAAACAGGCATGTTAACATGAATATATATGAATTTATTTGAAGGTCATATTTTGCTTATCTTGTAATTTTATGATTGTTTGTCCACACTCCTTATGTATTCCAGAGTTTTTGTTCGTCCTACGTTAGATCACTTGAGTCACTCTTACCATCCATATTTGTTTTCTTACGGTCAGCAGTTTCGTCAAAAAATGCGTCGGTGTACTTTACATTGTAAGCAGCTTTGGTCAAGCATTCGTCGGTTTAATTAATGTTATATTCGAAATGGGGTGTTCAAAATGTTGACAATTAGGTACATGTTACTACCTATCAACTTGTAAATCGTTAGTACTTTTTTGGATACTTACTTCTTTATAACTTTCTTGTAAATATCTATGTATATATGTAAAATTGACAATGAATGAAAAAATACATGTTTTAAATTTGTCGATAATTTCTAGTAATAATAGCATTTTTTTCTCGTAAATTTACATTCTTTACATTCTTTACATTAAATTCAAACGTTAAGGTTCCAATTTCCACTATTTCAATCAATAGATTGAATTCACAATTATGTTTTATTTAGCTCCTCAAATTGTTTTCTCGTCTACCTAACAAGCATTTTTCTTTCTGACCCTTACGCCGTTTTCCATTGGATGGCACAAATACCTCTAATTATGATTCCAATCCAAATTTCACCATTTAAATGTTTAAATATGGAATGCTTTATAAAACGGTGCTGGGGGGCATGGACTTTTGTTGCACATACAACTATTGTCCATGAACAGCAAATCAATCTGAGTCTGTAACATGTTTAATTTTGCCGTTTTGGGTGTTCTTAAATTTACCTGTTTTCTCTATTTTTGTTCCACCTTAAACTTTAAAGTTTTGTAACAGTCAGTTTAACAGAAAACCTTGATTTAAGCACTTCATTTGTAACTATTTATTAACTATTTGGATGTCCCTCTTTTGAGGAAGTTTCTCCATACCATACTTGTAGATATATTAAGATTAGAGAATGAGAGATCTAATAGATAAATCTATTTGTGACACATCCCCCTGGTAGAGTGTTCTTGATGAAATATAAATGCATAAATGATTTACATAAATAGAAATAAAGTTGAAGAGTTCAAGCATTAATACCACATGATGAGCAGCTGTAAACAAACACCATTAAAAACATAAAAATACCTCTTAACATTAAATATATGATCTACCAACTTATGAAATTGAATGCGGTATCTGAAACAATTTGCAAAATAGAATCTTTACATGTATTTGGAAAACATTTTAAATAGAATCAATAAAAGCATTCATTTGTCTGCAAGGCTAAATAATAAACTGCAATACCTTAAATCCCGAACTCATATTGTTAATTATTTTGATATAAATTAAAGTAATTTTAAACATGGCAAGATAGCGACTTCTAACTTAGATAATACCATGACATCGACTATCTAGTCTAGATAATTTTGAGTCCGCAATTGAACAAGCTAAATTAAGTTAACAGATTTCGCTTGCTTTGAAAACTAAATTGAAAAAAAAAAATCGAAATATCTTTAATGATTGCAAAGGCTAATCGAGGTCGGATTCAGGTAGTTAATGTGAATAGGAGCATCATTCAAAATGCGTCCGAAATACCTGTTCAACACAGTGAGAAATATCATTCATCTTATAGGAGGATCATCATCTTATAGGAGGATCAAGGTTCAAAATCATAAAAAAAAAGAATTTGAAAATCTTGCATAGATCAACGGGAGCACTTACAACAAAAAAATTATATAAAGATATTAAAGTAATATAC